TATTGAAGGAAGAAGTTGAAACTGCAGTGACGGAATTGGTGAAGAACAGGGCTCCAGGAATTGACGGAATACCCATTGAGATGTTTCAACAAACGGATGCCCTGCTGGAGGCACTCACTCAGTTATGCCAAGAGATTTGGAAGACAGCTGCCTGGGCAATTGACTGGAAGAAATCCGTATTTGTGCCCATTCCAAAGTGAGGTGATCCCCAGGATGTAGAAATTATCGAACAATAATATTGCACACAAGTAAAATCTTAAGATAATTCAAAAACGGTTGCAGGAGTGTATCGACAGAACTTCCAGAGGATTCAGAAGCTGGATTCAGAAGAGGACATGGAACAAGGGCTATCATTGCTGATGTCAGATGGATCTTGGCTCAAAGCAGAGAATACCAGAAAGATGTTTACTTGTGTTTTATTGACTATGCAAAAGCATTTGATTGTGTGGATCATGACAAATTATGGGTAACATTGAGAAGAATGGGAATTTCGAAACAGTTAATTGTACTCATGAGGAATCTGTACATAGACCAGGAGGCTGTCATCTAGAAGAACAAGGGGACACTGCATGGTTTAAAATCAAGAAGGGTGTGTATCAGCGTTGTATCCTTTCACCATACTTATTCAGTCTATATGCTGAGCATATAATCCAAGAAGCTGGACTATGTGAAGAAGAATGTGGCATCAGGATTGGAGGAAGAATTAACAACCTGCAATATGCTGACAGTACAACTTTGCTTGCTGAAAGTGAGCATGACTTGAAGCACTTACTGGTGAAGATTGAAGAATACAGTCTGCAGTATGGATTACATCTCAAGCTAAAGAAAACAAAAATTCTCACAACTGGACCTGTAAGCAGCATCACAATAAATGGAGAAAAGATTGAAGTTGTCAAAGACTTCACATTGCTTGGTTTACAGTCAACACCAATGGAGGCAGCAGTCAGGACATCAGACGGTGTGTATAGCACTGGGCAAGTTGACTGCAGAGGACCTCTTTCAAGTGCTGAGGAGCAAAGATGTCTCCTTGAGGACTAAGGTGTGCCTGACACAAGCCATGATATTTTCAGTCACATCTGTTAGGAGCTCTGGTAGCATAGTGCGTAAGGCACTTGGCTGCTAACCAGAAGGCTAGCGGTTCAAACCCACCAGCCACTCATTCCTCGGAAGGAAGGCTGGGCAATCTACTTCCGTAGTGATAACACCTCAGAAACCCAAGGACAAGTCACTACGAGTCGGGTACGACTCAACGGAACATAACAACAACAACAACAACCAACCTATGCATGTGAGAGCTGGACAGTGAATAAAGAAGACTGAAGAAGAATTGATGCTTTTGAGATCTGGTGCTGGAGAAGAATGCTTAAAGTACCGTGGACTGCTAAAAGAACTAACAAATCCATCATGGAGGAAGTGCAGCCAGAATGCTTCTTGGATGCAAGAATGACCAGACTTCATCTCACCTACTTTGGTCATGTTGTCGGAAGGGTCCATTCCCTGAAGGAGGATGTCATGCTTGGTGAGGTGGAGAATCGACAGAGGAGGGCAAGGCCCTCAACGCGATGGATTGATACGGTGGCTGTGGCAATGGGCTCAAGTATAGCAGGGATCACGGAGCTAGTGCAGGACCAGGCGGTGTTTCATTCTGCTGTGCATAGGGTTGCTACAAGTCGACTCAACAGCACCTAATAACAACATCTTTGGAAGCTTCACTGAAACCTGCCCGCCATAGGGTGACCCTATTGGTACCCAAAATACTGGCCTCCAGCCTCACAGCATCATGCAAGCCACCACAGTACGACAAACTGTGACAGATGAGTGGTAGATGTAAAATATAGCAATATTTAATGCTGTGGTCAAGTATTTCATCCAGTAACTATTCCTAGAAACTGGAAATTGTAGTAATTCTTGAACTATTCACAGAACCATTACAATTTGAGACACATTAGGTATTCTGTCACTACTTTTTTCACTCTTTATTTATACTTCTACCTAGGAGAGTTAGGAGCCTTACTCCTAAGAGCGGTACAGGTGGAAACCTAAGTCAGTGACTCTATAGGTATTATATTTAACCAGTATGGCAGAATACTCAAGTAAAGATTTAAGTGGTGGGTCTTTAAATGCTTTAATTAGTTAAATTAACATTAAATCCATCTTACTGTGTTTTCAGTTTATCTTTCTGTGTTGTTGGTACTCTAAATCATTTTACAAGAGACATAAATATCATTGGTCTTTGTTGCTTACCATTTCTTTGCAATTTTCTTGTTCCTTTTCCCTTTCACTCCTTTTATAAAGACTTAGCCCTGTATGTGTATTTTCACTCATTTTTCTGGTGACAGTATTTGACTCTTCATTTGTAACAGTGAGGACAAAGTTGTATTAAAAAGTTTGTCGTCGTCCCCCCTTCAGAAATTTGAATGCCAATAGTTTAAACACATTGAGTTATCTTGGGGAATGTTATACAGGTATAACTTAAACAGATATAAGTTACATATGAAATAACTTATTGATATAACTTGTAAGAGTTTTTGATAATGTAAGAATCTTAAGTACATGAGAATGTCTTCAACTTCTTAGAGTACTAAATAGGAAAGAGATTGTGATATTTCAAATATTGGTCTTTCTCCATCTTCTATTAAGAAGGTTATTGTTTTCATAATTGTAACTATTCTAATTTTCAACTTGTTGGCTTTTTTGCTCCAAGCCTCTTGCTGGTTATCCAGTTTTTAGTAGATTTTAATCATAGAGTATAAAATATGCTTTGTTTTTTGTTGGTAAGAATGGGGAATGATGATAAAAAAGTATTTTATATTTAGCCAACAATTTGTTCTGATTTAAATTTTCCTAATAACTTCTTAAGTCTGATAGTATTTTAGCAAGAGAAGAAGAGGGTTGTTCATGGAAAGACTAGAAAGAAGGAAGAATTAATAGTTAAATGGACAATTTTTTAATATCTCTATATTTTTGTAGTTTATTATCTTAAGTGCTTTCTTCTTATTTTATAAAGATCTGACTCTTACAACTTTGAGCAGAAAAGTAAGTGCAGTTACATTCTTCTATTTGTAGCCACTCAGAAAATTAAATAGTATGAAAGGATTAAGTGGAAGAGCAAGACTTAAAACAGGTCCCTTGACTGACTTGTCATTTGTTCATCTTTTTGTCTAATAATGTTTTTCAGTCTTGTTATGAGGATTATTTATTCCAGTTGTCATTTTAATTAGCAGAGTAAGGTTCTCTTTTTTTCCTGTAAACAGCACATGAAAACAAAACCCATTGCCATAGAATCAGTTCCAAATCATAACCTTATAGGACAGTTTAGAACTGCCCAATAGGGTTTCCAAGGTTGTAAATCTTTAAGGAAGCAGACTGCTGCATCTTACTACCACATCTTTCTCCCATGAAAGGGCTAGTGGGTTTGAACAGTTGAACTTTGACTTGGCAGCCCAGTGCTTAACAATTGCATCATGATGGCTTATGGGCCTTTTATAGGACCTTTATTAGAAAGGAGCTCTGATGGCACAGTGCCTAAGGCATTTGATTGCTAACCAGAAAGAAGGTTGGCAGTGCAAACCCACCAGCCACTCCAGGGAAGGAAAGACGGGCAATCTACTTCTGTAAATATTTACCTCTTAAGAAAGCCAGTGGGGGTCTCTATGAGTGTGAATCAATTTGATGGCAGTGGGTTTGGTTTGGTTTTTGTTTTTTTGTTGAAGAGACTAGGACCAGTCTTAATGGTGGCTCAAAGTGACTTTTCTGTTTAGCTTCTTAATCCATAAAAGTACTTATTGGCAGAAAATGTGAATAATTTTTCTAAGTACTGATGATAATGGGTAAGTTGGGAAGGAGAACACATCAGCAATATCTATCCTTCACCTTTAATTCCTAATAAACAGGCAGCTATATGTGGATTCAGGTCCCACTGAGGGACAAATGCAATATAGGGACAGTTTCATGTACACGAAGTCAGAAGAAACTTCAAGACTTGGACTGACTGACATTCCAATATATTTTCATGTGACTTCTTAGTTTTCACATGTCTGCCAGAGTTACCTGGTTTGGGGTTTCAGAGCCCAGATCCTAGTATGACTGTTATGTGCTAAGTTAGTTTCTTTATAAGTGAAAACTTCAGCTTTTGGGTGGCTGTGCTATACAATGGCACGACCTTAGAAATGAAACAGGTACCCTATTAAACAAGTTTTTAACTTTTTCCGTAGAGCTTGTAATCAAGCTTGGGCTTTCAGCTCATGTTTTCTCTGGCTGTTGAGGGACTAGTCATTCTGAAGACCTGTACATGAGAGCTCTTAGGAATTTTTATTTCATTGTAAAAAATCAACATTTTTACTAAAAAATACTAATTTAAGTATTGTCTACCTTAATTTACCAGTCTTCTCTCTACTAGCTTTGTAAAAGGAATATGTCGTATGTAATGGTGTTGGGATAATTATAGTCATATAACACATCAAGGAGTAGGATCTTTTGGTTCTACTTTTAATCCTTAGAAGGTGCCCTGATGACACAGTGGTTAAAGTGCTCAACTGCTAACAGAAAGGTTGGTAGTTAGAACCTACCAGTCACTCACTCCATGGAAGAGAGATGAGGCCCTATGCTTCCATAAAGATTTACAGCCTTGGAAACCGTACAGGGCAGTTCTCCTCTATCCTGTAGGGTTTCTGTGAGTCAAAATCAACTCCATAGCATACTATTTAAAGTAGAATTTTGGACCTTCTCAAGAAGTTTCTTTCTCTGGCATGAGTTTTCAGGATGCTTTAGCAACCACATATTTAATTTCATTGAGTACCTTGTCAGTGTTCCTAGCGTATTCTAGACATTTTTTTTCTCTTTTCAGACTCATACTTGATTTAGATTCCTCATGCTGCCTAAAATTCATTATTAAATTGCTTATAAATGAACTGGGATTAGATGAAGAGTGATAAGTTATTATGGTATAGGTGCAATGTGGATACTGCGTCATGGTGATTTTTTTTGTTCTTCTTTTTCAGTGTTCCATTGGCAAGCTACAATAATGGGACCAGTAAGTATTCAAATTAATTTCAGAATAAATTGGTTATATAATTTGCTCATTTTAATCCTACTTTTCTTGTCATTAACAGAATGACAGTCCCTATCAGGGTGGAGTATTTTTCTTGACAATTCATTTCCCAACAGATTATCCCTTCAAACCACCTAAGGTAATTGGAATGTGGTCATTGCTTTTCATGTGCTTTTCATAATACTAATAAATCAGCGTATAAGAAGTATTTCTTTTTTCTATAGGTTGCATTTACAACAAGAATTTACCATCCAAATATTAACAGTAATGGCAGCATTTGTCTTGATATTCTACGGTCACAGTGGTCTCCAGCACTAACTATTTCAAAAGGTAATGGAGTGGGTGATACTAAAATAGAGCAACATTAGTTTTTATCTTCTTAAAATTATTCATTTTTAAAGACTGTTCATACCTCTTTTAAGAAGAGATAACAAACCTCCCTCATTCTTGAATAGACCTTGAAACTAATTGGAGAAAGTTGGAGTTCAAAGCACAGATATTCCTTGGTGTGGTGACTTCTTTGTCCATTGTGCTATTGATGCTTAAGTTGGAAGATGATTACTTGTTGACATGAATGTGTTTTTAGAGCATTAGAGTAGAAGATGGTAGGTATCTCTTCCAACCTTGAGATCCATGAATGGAAAGGATACAGTTCCAGAACAATAAATAGCCCTTTTCAAGGGAAACTTGTGCTGTATGAAAATAGGTATTAGGTAATTGAAAAGCAAAATATAGGTGAACTTGTATACTGACTGTTAAAATGGCATCCACTCTTGAATCTTCCTGTTTCTATCAGGAACAAACTTAACCATGTAAGATCAATTTAATATAAATTTTTTTATTTGAATATCTTAATCTTTGGTATGGTGTGTGTTTAGAAATGTATAAGGATAGCTAGTTACTAAGTTTGTAATGAAAAATACAGTAGTTCTTATAAATATGACCTGATTATATGAGTGGGTTGGGAGCTCTGATGGCATAGTGCCTAAGGCATTTGACTGCTAACCAGAAGGCTGGTGGTTCAGACCCACCAGCTACTCCTCGGAGGAAAGATTGAGCAATCTACTTCTGTAGAGGTACCACCTTGAAAACCCAAGGGAGGGGTTGCCATGAGTCGAATAGACTTGATGGCAGTAAGTTTCATTATATGAGTAGGTTGGGTTTCTTTTTTATTATTATCAGTGAGATGAGCTGTGTAGTTAATTACCATTATCTTATATTTTGATTTGAGATGGTACAAACTTTCAACATTATATCCAAGTGAAATCACTAGTAGACTATAAATCATGAATTATAGAAGAAAACAAAAATTAATACTGTCTCAACTTTGTGATTTGAGAAGTGACAAAAGAGATCAGGAGATAAGCCTTTGTGTAAAAGAAAAAAAAAATGAAAGCATTTGTTTAAAGGAAAACTTTGCCCAATACAAATATGAGGAATAGATGCAAATACAGTAATGGGTTAGCCATGAGCTAGAATTGACTTTATGTTAATGGCAGTCATTAATGGCTTTTGTTTTGTTTTTCGAAATAAGAACACATACAAATCAAAAAATTAAAAAAAACCCGATTCCAAAATGGCACTAAAATAAATTCGTACTTCTCACCCTTTTAATTAACAAAGATCTTTAAAAAGAAGACGAAATGCTTAAGAACATTGAAATAGCAGTCAGCGCTGTAAGTAGAAAGGTAGATCTCTATAGCCCTTTGGTAAAACAGTCTTGTAATATGGAGTAAAGGGTGTATTCATCTATATCCTTTGACCCAGTAATTCTAGTTTCATTCATCTATCCTATAAAACAGTCCCAAATCTTGAAAAGGCTTTATGTGTGAGTATATTTGTGACAGCATTACTTATTTCTAAAAATTAAAAATTACTTACAGGTCCAGCAGTATAAGAAGAAACAAATAGTTCTAACATGTCAATTTAATAGACTGATTCTTTAGAAATTTTGTAGGAAATGAGGAAATACTATTTAAAAAATCAGTATACAATTTGTATACATTGTAATTTGAGTGATACAGAAAAATGTAGTAAAGTAGCTAGAAAGAAACAGACAATGTTGGTGTTGGTATTTGGATGGTGAAATTTGATGTATGAAAAAGGTTTTTTGTTGATCTTCGTTTTCTGTGCTCTTAGAATCATAGAAATCAGATCTTCCTTTGTATACAGACTGTACTTATATTTTACTATTTCTTTAATGCATACCTTTAGACACACTATAACGGCTTAATGATAAAGAAGTCTGGATCTGACTGCCTAGGTTCTGATTTCAGCTCCATCTCTTATTAAATGAGACATGGGAAAAATTAGTCTCTGTATTCTTTAGTTTTTTCATCTGTAGATAAGGATGATGATAATTATTTCACTGATATTTAAAAGACTGAAACAGCAGAATGAAAAGTTAACCTGTTTCTTGTAAACACTCAAATACCTGGGGTAAGGCACTATATTGTAAAATGTATATTTACCATGTTGTTGTTGTTAAGTGCCGTTGAGTCGTTTCCGACTCATAGTGACCCCATGCACAGCAGAACGAAACACTGCCCGATCCCA